CAACCTGTTTTTATTCTAATTTTTAATTGAATTTATCGGGGTGACATTGGTTAATAAAATTAGGGTGAAAAGGGTGAAGGGATTAAGCAAAAAAAACCCAAAAAACAAAAAACAAAACAACAACTCCTCAGACACAGACAACAGCATGGTGATTACAAGAAGGGAAGGGGGTAAAGGGAGGTAGGAAAGGGTAAAGGGGAAATAAATGGTGATGGAAGGAGACTTTGTCTACTTCTTAATTGGATTATCTTTTGTTGTTGAGTTGTAGGAGTTCTTTATATAGTCTAAACATTAAACTCTATCAGATACATGACTTCCAATATTTTATCCAATTCTGTAAGTTGTCTTTAAACTTTCTTGGTAATACTCATTAATGCAGCAACGTTTTTAATTTTTATGAAATCCAGTTTATTTTTTCTTTTGTAACTTGTACTTTTGGTGTCATATCTAACAATCCATTGCCAAATCTAAGATCGTGAAGACTTACCCCTGTGGGTTTTTTAATAATTCTATGGCTTTAGCTCTTATATTTAATAGGTCGTTGATCTATATTTAGTTAATTTTTGTGTATGGTGTGAAACAGAGGTCCAACTTTACTCTTTTGCATGTGGAAATCCAATTGTCCTAGAACCATCTGTTGAAGAGACTGTTCTTGCCCCATTGAATGGACTTTATATCCTGGTCAAAAATCAATTGGCTATAAATTTATGGATTTATTTCTAAACTCTCAATTCTATTCGGCCGACACTCTATCCACTGAGCCAAACCGGTTTCGGCACCATTGGAATTTTGATATGGATTGCTTTGAATCTGTAGATCTCTTAGTGTAGTATTGATATGACAATATAATGTCTTCCTATCCATGAGCATTTATTTAGGTCTTTAATTTATTTCAGCAAGATTAAATATCTGGTTAAATTTAGTCCCAGATATTTATTCTTTTAGATGATATTATAAATGGAATTTTCTTAATTTCTTTGAGTTACTCATTCTTAATCATAATGGTAATTATTATTATGGCAGTAGTTAACATTTATTGAGTATCCTCAGTTAATCTATGCTGAGCACTTATGTACTTTAACATATTTAATTCTTGTATATTTCCAACTTTTCCTTTTCTTCTAGAATCCTTCTTTAAATACCTTAGATTTTATTCATCCTCAAATTATCCTTCTGTCTTATACTACCCTCTTTTTCTTTGTAACGAAACTTGTTGGAAAAGTTTACTGTATCTGTTTCTGTTTTCTCTGCTTCCATTCATTCTCTTATCCTCTCTAGTCTGGCTTTTGGCTCCCAGCTCTACCATCCATTTCAAAGCTCTCAGTTTACTAGTGCTCTTTGTCTCTAAAGTTTGTGTCTTAACCAGTTAACTGCCACACATCCAACGACGCCTTTATCTTGCTTGAATCTATAGACACTTACGGCGTACAAAGGGTAACACCATCTCACTTGCATCTAGCACAGTTCACTACTCCATCTTGAAATATTTCCCTCTTTGCCTTTGTGAAATTATTCTCTCCTTGTTTTTTCTCTTTCTGATTGATTGCTTATTGTCTATCTTGACTAGCTCATCCTACACTATCAGTCCTTTACATATGGGAATTCTTCAAGGCTCTATCATATGCCCTCATCTTCTATATTCTATCCTGGGTGATCTAATTTTTTCCATGGCTGCAGTTAAACTCTGACAACTCCCAGATTTAATCCATGATCCCAGATTTGCTCTTTGAGCCCTAGATTCATATCTGACAATCGATAGCTTCATTAGGTTATCCTATAGATAAATTTATGATCTTCCTTAAAAATCTTTTAAAAATATATATATTTTATTGATTTTTTACAGAGAGAAAGGGAGAAGGATAGAGAGTTAGAAACATCGATGAGATGCCCTAGCTGGCTTGGCGTAGTGGAGGGTGTGCAGGAGGCAGCCGATCAATGATTCTCTCTTATCATTGATGTTTCTAACTCTCGCTCCTTTTCCCTTCCTCTCTGAAATCAATAAAGAAATATATTTTAAAGAAAGAAAAAAAAAAGAAACATCAATGAGAGAGAAGCATCGATCGGCTGCCTCCTGCACATCCCCTACTGGGGGTGTACCCGCAACCCAGGTACATGCCCTTGACCAGAATCGAACCTGGGACCCTTCAGTCTGCAGGCCGACGCTCTATCCAGTGAGCCAAACCAGCCAGGCCTTAATAATCTTCTTACTGTCCCCACTCCCTGCTTCCTTCATGGAGGAGAAAATAGTTTTCTCTAATGTGATTTACATGATATCTCAATCTGTTTAGTTGGGTAAGCTAGAAATTTGATAGTCATCCTTCACTCTGTCCTCCTTTATCACCCATATCCAATGAATCACTAAGTCCTATAGATTATATCTTCTAAATATCTTGAATCTGTTCAGTTCTCATTTCTACTGCCAGTAACCTAGTCTCTTTGTTACAGTCCTTCCTCCAATGTAAGGATCAGGCCTGCTTGTCAGTCTTATGGTCTTTCCGTCTCAGCTTCTTAATCCCTCATAGGCCATGGCTAAACCAACAAGTCACAAAACTCTCAAAATCTATGCTTAGGTAAAAGAAAAAAACGTTTGGTCAGAGTGCATAGAATGCTGAAGTGTAATTCTTTCTGTAACTTAAGCTTTTTATGTTGTTATGTAGGACAATTTTGTTCCTTTAGCCATATTTTGCATTTTAGGGAAATGACCCACTTAAGGGGGAGAATAAGTATTCCAGAAAAAGGAATAGTGTGCCCCAAGGAAATACTGAAGTTTGTACTACTTCATGCACAAACAGAAAACCTGCTCACAGTCCTAAAGCCCATCTTGCCCTCTGTTTGGAGCTGACACTCCTCTTTGTCCATTTTCCACTAAGCCACTTCCAGAGAATACTATGACTTCTGCAGCAATTCTTAACTGAAGTCCATGGATGAGCTATAAAGAAAAGATATGGGAACTCCTGGAATTGTGGGCCCATAGTGTGATCTTGGGCTTTTTACTCCTTTAAGCACCATTTTCCTCATCTATAAAATGTAGTTTATAACAATCCTTGGCAATAGGATTACTCTGAGAATTAAGGAGTGTACTTAAATAGACATGAAAAGGCTAGTACAGTGCCTGGCAGACAGTTATTTTAATATTGTAACAGGGATTACAATATAAAATAAAGGCAGCCATGTCTATTGCGACATGCAGAAGGAATTGGACCTACTACAGTAGTCTTTTAAAGTGTATGTGTAAGGACAGAAATAGTAGTTAGCTCCAAGTATAAGGTGCCTTTACTTAAGGATCCTGAAGTTACTGTGACTATGACAGGAGTCAAACTAGAACTATGAACTAGATCTAGGGAAGCATGAAAAATTGATGGGTAGTAAGTATAATTCACTCATAATGCAGAGAACATTTACTTAGTTTATAGCAGACTTGTGTTCTTTATGACACCCCCTGCCCCTGCCCAGTCCATGTCATGATAATTGCTGGAAACATGGGAATTAACCAAATGTCCAGTCTGTTTAAACCTTTTCTTTGAATTTAAAAATTTCCTT